TTATCACAACTGTAGAACAGCAGCAGGAGAGTGGCAGAATTCTGACTCATTAAAGGTGGCTTCCAGCAAGAATTCTCAGAATTTTTATACATGTTTTTTGCCTTATATAGGGAAGTAAAGTATTCAGCTGTATTCAGCCTAACAATGAAATTTGACTTTGTTTGTCCTGAACATCACCTCTATAATATTACATTAAGCACATAGCTTATGACTGTAAACATTTGAAATTCATATTAATTTGTTTTCAGAGATAAATAAGTATGCACTGAAACTGGGGGAAGGAAATGAAGAATGAATGAGATTAGGAGTTGGGCATTGTTGGGTGTAGTTAATTGCACGGAGGGATTTTATTAAGGAATACTTCAAATTTCCGAGCTGTTGGATGGAGAGTAGCATAGTAGATGCCTAGAAGGGAGTGCCCAACTTCCAGAAAATATGAATGAGAGGACATTCAAGTACAGGAACTGGAAATAAAGATGGGTATGTTATTGGTAAGTAGACTGAAGCAGTGGGAGTAGATTAAATCACCCAGAGGAAAAAGCTGACAAAGCAAACTCAGTACTGTGAGCGGTAATCTCTTGTTAGAAAATGTCACTTTAGTCTCATAGGATTACTGAAACTATATATTTGCACTTTATTTTGAGGTTTTATGATAAATATTATATAAAAAATTTACAGTTACAATAATCTATGAGTAAACTGAGTTTTTAATTTTTTCAATTTTGTATCAAACTGGGCACAAATGATGAGCATAACACACAATTTAGATGGGGATGTTAAAAAGGCTTTAAAGATAGCATTCAAACTGGCATTGGACAGGCTATTGGGCCTGTTACCACCAGTAGCTGTAGCATACAGGGCTTCCAAAACAGAAGTGTGGCATGCAGTTAGCTAGAACTTTGATTTCACAACAATTTTTGGTTTACAGGTTGGGACAGGATTTTTGAGGTTAAGGTTTAAAAAAGCAATAAGTTGCTCCTTTGCCTGATCGACATGTATAGTCTTTCTATTTCAGGAGATGTCTGAACTCCAGAACTCCCAAATCCAATCTTACAAGGATGTTTATATTTCAGACATAGCTTTTACTTAAATAATGGTTGGTGGTGTATTTTGGTATAGATTTTAGATTTAAAGACAATACAAAATTAAAAGCACTAGCATAACCCAAGTCAAATGTGATTGATATAGGATTATTCTCTATTTTTAATTATTCTGTGCATCCTCAATATGTACAAATATGTATGAAATATTTTTCACAAAATAATTCTGAACTTTTCTCACAAAATCAGTGAAAAAGAGTGTCAAATGTATTACTTTAGCTTTAACAATCTGACACGTTAAAAGATTCAAATCCAGTGGAAACACACAGTAGCTTTGAATAGCTGAGTGGGTACTTCTGAGCCATGACCTAACTTAATTTCTCTGTGCATTTAACTTTCTTCTGTAATCTCCAAAATATTCTACCATGGTTCTTTACCTGTCTGTTCTCATTCTTCTTTCCTCATCTTTGCCGGTGCCTCTTCCTCAGCCTTATGCCTAAATGTTGGTATCACTGAAGTCTGTCCTCAAGCCACTTTTCTCCTTGTTTGGTGTACCTCCCATTAGGAAATGTATCTGTTCTTCTAAGCTACAAATCCCATAGTCATTTGCAACCTCTCCTCTTTCAATGTTTTCCTCTGTCTTACTTCCTATACCAAGTCAGTGTCGTTCAGCGAATATTTGAGCCTGGCTTAGATCTCTCTTCAGGCCAGTTCTTTATTTCCATCCTTACTGTCACTGCCTTTGGTCAGATTCTGAGCACTTCTTTTTTGGACACTTCTGGTCAGCAAACATTGATTGAGAGCTCAGTTTGTGTCAGATACTGTGCTGGGCACTGAGGATCTCAAAATGATTAAGATTATGTAGCAATCACAGTAACAGACAAGTATATGCAATTAGGTTACTTAACATTTGACTTATGGAAACTCGATCTCACGCTCTTTCGTAAGGTACATATAATAAATTAAAGATGGGACGGTTTTGTGTTGTGTAAAGAAACAGTCTCAGAATCTAGTCCAGGGTCGAGTACTGTGAAGAGCCAGCATAAGTAGGCAGCGATTACCACAAGGAGAAGGAATTCCTTCAAGTTACTGTTATTTTAACCTGCATCGTATCAGCTTGTTTTGCTTCAATGTTTGGGTTACTCTCTTCTCTCCAGCGTTTTATAATCATTACTGGAAAGCTACCAAGATTGCAGTACTGGATTATATACATATTTTCACTTTATGTGAAGTTATTTGTATAGAATATTCCTTAATGGATTGGTTGTATAAGATGTATATATAAGATACAGAAGTTGTATGGGCAGAGTAGCTAATCCATTGTGAGGTGGGTCAGGGAAGACTTTATAAAAGTGATCTGCTAGAACAGGGGGTAGGACAGAACAAGGAGCTTTTATGAATACACCAAAATACATCTCGGTAACTGTACATAATTTCTTAGCTCTGGAGTATAAGGGACGTAGGAGGACTTTGGCTGGAGGAAATGAGGCCAGAGGAGCAAATAGAGGCCAGAAAGATCATAAAGGGTTTTGTGTGTTAGGCTAAGGAATAAGGACAGTCCACAGCTACCGAAAGGTGTTAATCAGAGGAGTGACATAGTTTACATTTTAGAAAGAAGTTTCTGGTGGCAGAATCCTAACTTCCATGAGCCCTGCCCTGCTTCCCACATTCTCTGTCAACAGAGTCAGCTTGGTAGAACACAGGAACTGATCGTGTAAATCCCTGCTCAACGCTTAAGATGACTCCCAAATAACAAAGTCCAATTTTCTACCATTACCTTGAGGAAACTTCATGTTTCCTCTATCTTGAACATTTTTCATCAGACACCCACATGGCTCACTTCTTTGTTCTATTCATGTCTTTGCAAAAACATCACGTCAGTGACTCCTTCTGTGGCTATCAAAACCAACATTCCTTCACTCCTTAGTTCCTCACCTTGCTTTATATTTCTTAACACTCATCAGACCCAAAAGTTATATTTATTCATTTATTTATTTATCCTCCAAATGGAATGCAAGCTGGATAAGAGCAGGAGTTTTTGTATGTTTTGTTCAGTGCTAAGTGTTCTGCACTTGTTACATTGGTAGGTTTTCAATGTTTCTTGAAAGAATGTGGCCCCGACCACCTTCCTCCTTCTCTCTTTGGCTTTGCTCTTTACACATCAGACAGGGAACTTCTCACAGTTCACCATTTCCCAGGTACACCTCCTTGTGAAATCAGTTCATCTTTCAAGGTTCATCGTAGATACCACCCTTTGTGTAAAATGTTTTTTCGAGCAGTCACTCTTTCTGCTTGGCTCCCATATCACTTTTTGAATATTTCATAGAAGAGTGTTTTCCTGGGCTGTCCAGGATGTGATAGGTATGAATAACTACTTGTTAAAAAGTCATTAATTAACCAGTAGAGAAGTATACAATGAGGTAGACAAGCACTATGGGTAAAAGTTGAAATTCAGTTAGTTAATTGGAGAAATGTGGTAATTAGGTGTGACACGAATTTGATTATAAATGAAATATAATTAAGGAGAAATAGCTAGAGAAATAGTCATGAATTTACTTTATATATGCAATTATACAAATAGTCTGGAGAAAGTATCAACTTTTATATGTATATATACATAAATACATCATTTGCCAACTTAATTACCTTTTTTGTAGAAATAAACTATAGCAGAAAAATAGAAATAGACAAGAACTGAAAAAATTACTTTCTAGGGACAGTATAAAAAGCATGTTAAAATTCCACATTTACTTTTCATCATCTTTCTGTATAAAGTATTATTTCTTCACATATATTTTTGAAGACATAAATTATATAGAAATGTTTTGATTAAATCAAATTAATACACTGTACCCATGCCTCTACATCGTAAGACAATATAATTCCATTTGAATTGTCAAGAATGTCTTTGCTGTACGAATACCCTGGATAATTATTTTTCTGGCTAATGAAAAGGTGTAGAGGCATAGTCTAAAAATTACTTTGTTTTGTGTTCTAATATCTTCTTTATTTATAGTTCAGCATGGTCATCAGATGATGTAAATACTCTAAGTTATTAATGAAATAATAACTGCTATGAAATCCTTGCTAAGAAATTCATGTGCAAAATTGTCCAGTTTTTCATTTCTGAACTCATGATCCTCTCCTACCCATAAGTATTTTTTTCTCTCAGATGAAAATCATGCTAAATTGTTGGGGTTTCATCATACTTTCTAATTGAGACACGAACTATGAAAGCTGTTAATTAAGTAGAAGTACTGCCTAGTCATAAAAGCAAAAGTTGCAAATGATCACAATTAGCATCTAATATTTGTCAGTCAACAAACATAAATAACTAAAGTCAAATTTATTCTTTTAAAATTTGAGGACCACAAAAATAAATGGCTGGAAGACTGTCCTCAGGTGCCAGAAGGGCTTTGGGAAGTCATTAGTAATGGGATCAAAGTGTGTAAATATAGGATGCTGGGGATGATGAAGATAAACTTTTTATTTAGCTTTGTTCCTGTTTATCTACAACATAAATGGTTCTGAGATACTTTTTGTGGAAGATAGCAAAGAAAGCATGATTTTTACATGATTTATTATAGATTTATTTTATTTTTCTTGCCCTTACAATGGCTGTGTTTGAAGGAAAAAATATATATACTAGTAAATTTGTTAATTGGGAATCATTATAGTACAAATGTATGAAGTGTAAGTAAGCATTTTCATAATATGTATTTAGAATTTTCCTATGATGAACTCATAAGCTTTGTAATAAAATATTATGGAGAATTTTACCCCTTCCCTTGTTTTTCTTAATTAAGATATGAAAGGAAGATTTTGCAAAGATTTATGTAAGCTTGAAGTAGATTTTAAAATTTTGTTATATTGGAGAAATATTTGAGGAGATATAATGCAATAGAAATTTCTGCTTTATATTTTTTAAAGGATTTTTATGGTATTTTGTTTGTTTTTCAGCATAAAGCCAGTCCCAGCTGAAGGAATCAAGTCAAATCCTTCTAAGCGACATAGAGACCGACTTAATACAGAATTGGACCGTCTGGCTAGCCTGCTGCCTTTTCCACAAGATGTTATTAATAAGCTGGACAAACTTTCAGTTCTCAGGCTCAGTGTCAGTTACCTCAGAGCCAAGAGCTTCTTTGATGGTAAGACAGAGGATTTAATTTTTCTACAATAACTTATAAAATGCTTAGATTAATTATGGCTGGTTCTGTGTTAATAACTATAAAAAATAGCCATATGTGAAAAAAGTTTTATTTATTGTTGTATGGTAAAATTTAACTGGCAAAGCCAAATTTATAATAAGTCCTAAGATCAATTTTCCAGTTTCGTTCATCAAACAGATGCAACCACTTACGTGATGCATGGTATCATTCTTTGAAAATCAGGTATTTAAAAGTTATACTTAAAGTATGTTCGATCCAGTTTTGCTTCTCCTTCCAATTCAATTTTTTAAAGTCTCTCTCTCTCTTTTTTTTTCTTTTTAAGGTAAAGAATAAAATACTTATTAACACTGTGATATGTTATTGCTGGATTTTCTGTTTTTATGGACATGCTATTTTATCCTTTCAAAATTATGTGTACTTCTAGTCCTTTAAATTACCTATATATGTTTACTGCAGGAAAGTATAATTAAAAATGTTTTTTTCACTGGACTGAGCACTTCAGTATAGGAGTTAATAGATTGGATTTTATTCTCCATTGTACCACTGACAAACTATTTGACTCTAACCAAGCCAAGTAACATTCCTGTATCTTAGTTTACTCAGCTGTTAAAGTTGGGTTTTGAGCTAGGTGGCTAGGTGATATTTGTTACCTTTTAATCATACAATATTTCATCATCTGTTTTAAATGGAAGTTTTTGTTTGAAAATAATGTTTCAATGTGTTTTCTTATGTAAAATAATTCCTTACTTTCTCTTTTATCTGTTTATCTGTCAGAAATAGATTTTTCAAGAAAATGGTCTTTTAAAAATGTCATGTTATTTTACAAACTGTAGTAAAGGAATTAATGATAAAATCTCAGTGGTCTATATCAGTGCTTCTCAAACTCTAATGTGCTTATAAATTACATAGGGATCTTGTTAAGTAGCAGATTCTTATTCAGTAGGTTTAGGTGTGACCAGAGATTTTGCGTTTCTAACAAGCTCTCAGACAATGCTGAGATTCTAATCCTGCTGGTCTGGATCACTAGGGAAGTACCTAGATAACACATTCACAGATACTTGTACTTGTAATTTGTGTTTAGGATGTTGCAAAACTGTTAATTTCCCTTTAGGTTTATGTTTACATAGTTTGATGTGTTTAGTCTGAGTATCTTTTTCTTTGCTTGCTTTTGTGTTTTTTCTTTCGGACAAAAGTTGTCTAGTTTAACAATTATAGCCTGGGCAATGTACAATGATATTGAGGATAGTGATTTTAGGAAAGAGTATATCTTTAAAAGTTTCGTAGTAGACACTTAAATGTTCTCTGATCTATATAAAATGTCTAAGTTTTCAGTTTTGTCTATATCAAACCCTTCATCTTGGAGATGAGTTATGAAGTATTCTGCTGTGTGTCTGTGAGTTTTTATTCATCAGCTGTATAGTCATCTTGTGGTAGAGCTGAAACTAGAACCCAGGCTTCCGGATTCCTTATATTTTTTTCCTGACCGTATCTCAATTACTTCTCTTTTCTGGGAACTGTTGTATAGCAAAGCCCTGAGGACTTTTCCCTAAATCTGTGTTTCTCAAAACTATAGTCCCCGATCAGCTTCACCTGGGGACTTGTTAAAAATGCTATTTCTAGAGCCCCATGATAGACCTGTGGAATCAAACATTGGTGGTGGGGCTAAATGCATGTTGAAGTTTGGGAGCCACTGCCTTAGATTGTAACCTTGAGCCCACTCTCAGCTCTGTAGAATGCTGTTCTGATCCTTAGCATTGATTCACATGTTATGCTTACTGTTTGACCACATCATAGGGGATTCCGTGACATTTAAGATATGGTCTGTGCCCTTAGAGAGTCTAGAAGCCAAGTGAGGCATTATTCATGAGGCATATACTCTGGTAAAGATTTATTGACATCAGTCATTTGACCTTTCCATTTTCTGCTCCTCTATTATGGGGAATCAAACTATACATGTTAAAATGTTTGAAAAAGAGAAAAAAAAATGTATAGGTTGTCCCCCCGTGTAGAAGTAGTGAAACAAAACAAACTGAAACTGCTTAGAGTAACCAGTGTGCCATTTAAGTACTAATATAAATACCACTCTCTAGGCAGATATATATATGGGGGAGGGGTTAGTGGTGCATAAACACTAAGCAATTTCTTAGGTTGTTCATCACAGGAACATAGAGTTATGTGGAAGGTGGAGGAAATAATTGGTTAAAAAAAAAAAGATCCCAGAGTCTTCTCCAGGTCACTAGTTGTTCAAGAAGGCAATGCAACATTTCAGAGCACACAGAATAAACTTTTGAGGGTAATCTTTATGAACTGGATTAATGTAAATGAGGACACTTGGAGCATGCTGACAGCGATTACGATTTTTGTGTGTAGTTAGATCCACTCTCCCACTATTAGGGAAACAGTATAGTGAAGTGAAGGGAAGCTCAAAGTGAATAACAGGATGCAAACAGGGGGTGTGTAAATTCCTGCGGAAAGAACAATATAAACGAATAATCATACAATCATGTTAGAAAGGAAGCTCAAGTTTAACTGTAACAATAGATATTTTTCCAAGAAAATATATCTATTTATTGCAAGTTTAAATAATCCAACTTGGATGGATCTTCTTAAACATTGGAGCCATGACTATACTGCTATTACTGTCTGAAAAGCAACACTTAAGTTTTAAGTACATTAATTAATTTATCCATTTTTAATTAATCAAAATATTTTGAAATATATTTAAAGTACTTGAACAGGACTTGGTAGTCATGTTACAGTGATGGTAAATTTCGAAGCAGTTTCTTGAATATCACATTATCTCCAAGATGTATTTTAAAAGTTTAAATAACTTAATGATTATATGATCAATAGTAGTATATTAACAGAGACAAGGATTTGGATGGTTACAACCTAACTTTTGAAATTGGTTGATATTAAGGAAAAGGATTGTTTCCTCATACATTGTATCTATTAAAGTTGTCAAACAGTGGACATTGGGCTTATTGACCAATCAGTGTGGTAATGTTTTATTCTTGTAAGAGTGATTTCAGCATATATTTTAATAGAATTAGATTTTGAATTAGATTTCCTTTTTACCTTTTGAAATGCTCATGATCCTGTAAGTATCATGTTCAATATTCTGCTTTTTGCCAGTAAGTAACCCTCAAAATTAAAAATTTGGGAATGACTAATTCATGTTTTCTGTTTAGACACAAATATCTAATGAGGCAAAAAAGGCAGAAAAAATGTTTCCTTTCTGTGAGACAATAGTAGGGGTTATATGTCATGTAGTATATATTAACTTGATAAAATATAGTATATATTACACCATTTAAAATATAATCATTAATTAAGAAATCTTTTATTTCCTCCATTATATCTGAGTCATGAGCTATTCCTTATGACATCTTTATAATTGAGATGTAAAGAAGACTTAGAAGCAAGAAAATGTCTAGGTTACCATTAAATCTGACAGAACTGAGTCTGGAGATCTGAGTTTCTAATTCTAAAGTTCTCCAATTGCAACTGTCATAGGAAATAATTTTCTGGTTATTTTAAGTACTAGGTAGTATAAAGGATAATCTGATTCTTGAATCATTATACATGCTTAAAATAATCACCATTTTGTAAAGTAGAATTATATACATGTTAGAATGTTTTAAATTCACTAATTCTGAAAATGCTGTGGAAAGAGAGGATGACAGTTAACTTAAATTATTTGATGATCTAACATTTATTTGACCTCGTTGTTTATCATGGATCTTTGTTGACTTTATTTTAAATTAAAAATTACAAGTGCTCTTTTCTCAGTCTTATTTTTGCAGATGCTTTAACAGTTCATTCCCAGTTCATTAGGTTTTCAAAAGAGAGCTATTGTGTTTATTCTTCAGCTTATACATTTCCCTGAATTTCAGTCCTGTTTTGGTATCTCTTAAAGGAGAAAATTATTCTTGAAAAACAAGTATACATGCATATATATGCCAAGAACAAGGTCAAACAAGCAGTAAAAATGAATTAAACAATAAAATGTTTTAAGAGTTGGTGTTTTTATTATCACAGTACCACAGCAAATGTGATTTCTTAATTCTAGGAATATACAAAGTAGGTTTGTTTGCCTAATAGTGAAGTATTTGCAGAGTTTTATCTACTCGTGGCATTATCCATCTTAGATTGTGATTTCACTATGTATATTTTTTTTTCTCAAATTCACATTCTAAAACATGAAACTCATAACATTCGTGATAATTTTTATAGCTAAAACTATATAAATCTATAGATTCTTTTACATTTTAGTTTATGGACTCTATATAATAAAATGCCTACAGATTTAAACATGAATGCATAAAAAGAATAGTGGGACATTCTTAGTGAGTGTTCAAATCCTAGCTCTGCATTTAGCAATTCGACCTCTTTGGATCATTAATTTCTCTTTTTCTCAGATATCACAGTTGACTGTATAAGATTCATTAGGTTATATATATATATAAATGAAATCTTTTGTGATATAATTTTATATAGGACACTTTTATCTCTCACTTTTTCTTTGCTTTGAAAAGTATTTAAAAAAACACAGTGACAAATATCTCCCACAGATTCA